ATCTACAATTTACGTCTCAGATTCTTCTCAAAATGTACCCAATTTCATTCCCATTGTGTCCGTAGTGTACTTTTAAACGAGCCCAGCTTTTACAGCACAATACACTCGGCTTGAGTAAATACAGCTTATTTATTATTAACCGAGTAAGGAACGTACTGCGACGACGAGGACGACCATGCTCTCGAATCATAATTGGCATCAAATTTCATGACGACGAACGAAGGTCTGTAAATACACTCACTCACTCAACAACAGGCCAAAAAAGGCAATAAATAAATAAGTAAATTGTCCACAAATTGCTCCATTTTTTACCAACGAATGCAATTCCATTCTTACTTTTCACTTAAAAAGAGAGATAACCACGACAAAGTTGACCTCGTCAGGAATGAAAACAACAAATATTACTTTTCCACTATAAAATTACATTGCCATTTTCACAGAATTTGCAATAAAATTCAACTTAAAATCAATTCTAATTAGTCCCATGCAACCAAAATATTGCATACAAATTTTTAAAGATTTCTCAAAAATTTGCACTCAAATTCCTCGTTAGAAATATGTAATAACAACAAATATTGCTTTTCTACTAAAAAAAAATTGCACAAAATTCTCAAAATTTGCAGTAAAATTCAACCTTAAATAAATTCTAATCAGCCCATTATTGCAATTTTTCGCAAATTCCCTTAATTAATCTTTAATTGGAATGTCATCACTCATTTTGCATACATATTTTTATTCACCCGTCACCTTCACCACAACACAAATAATCCTCCAACCAGCCAGATAACCACATATCATCACAGACATAACCATCACTTATCTCCCACCTGAATCTGCCTTGTGCAATAATACAAAAAAATGCACGTGCAAGTGCGTGCTTACAAAAAAAACCTTCAATTAAATTGAATTCCATTCCAATACAATTTGTCGAATTGATGGATCATCCACAATTTTATGCCAAAATCAAGCCTTAAATCACACTTTATGAAAAAATAACATGAGCAAAAATACTGCAAAAAATTCTATCTATCCACTTTTCCGCAGATAAAATCTACCCGAACCCATCCACAATTTTATGCCAAAATCAAGTCTGACATCAAACTTTACGAAATACCCTAAACCACAAGCACATGTGCAAAAATTGTACAAAAAATTCTATCTATCCGCAGATAAAATCTACCCAAATTTTCCTAACTTGTTGCGCATCGATCCGAATTCGGTTCAGTCAGTCAGTCAGTGAGAGTGCATTACACAAATTAAAAACCTAATTGTACACACTAGTCGGAAGTAAATAAATAAACAGTGGTCACAGTTCGATGGGCAGACTCTCCTCGGACAAATTAATATCATTATAAACCCACTTTGACCACGATAACCTACACTTATCGGAGACTATATATTTATCCATCCACAATACCCTATTTTTATCCAAGCCTCATAAATATTCGATTCGGACACGTGTTTACCCGAGAAATACCTACGTAAATTTGGCCAATTTATATTATTATTATACTTCCAGCGCCAAAATTATGGCGATAATTGTACCGTAAATATAGCAAAATATATATATTTATAATCCAAATCTCACTCCAAATCTGTGACGCAATTTTAACGTCACAATTAATCTCCTAAAATAAATTGCATAAAAGATACAAAATAAATAAATCCTCGACATTACTTACACATTTTACCCCCTGGAAAAATATGCTTTTAGCCTAATTTGTAGATTTTTGCTGCAAAAATAAATCGCAATATTTCTAAAAATATGTTTCCAACCCAGTCCACCCACGAATACATACATAATCTCAAGTCCTTCTTTTAGCTAATAATATCCTCACCCCCACAAATTTCTGGAGAATGGACTACCCACACAACCACCACCACGCCTTAACAAAATCCAAACATGGACACGTAATCCAGACATAAAAATCAGCCCCCGACCACAAAGTATTAGATGGGGTCAACAAAACCTAGATCACCGCCATGCTCCAATTATTGCACTCACGGAATACGGAGTTTTTGTGATCGTTTTGTCTGTCCGTCCGTCAGCAAGATATATCCAGAATCCCTCGACACAATCAAACATCATTTTCGCCATTGTGCTTCTAAGTTTTAAACAATTCTCTTCAATTACTTTTTAATTTTAATTTAAAACGTGATCAAGGTGACCCTGAGCGTGAGGTCAAATTGAACCTTAGCTTCCAAATGTGGTGCCATTTTAAAGGAAATTTCACCACGAATTCAACACTCGTCAATATTTTTCACTTCCGATCAACCCATCATCATTTCCACCAGTTTATTATCTCTGTTGCTGGATTGTATCTATAAAAAAAATAACGGCACACTTTTTCCCCAGATTTTTTTTTATTTATCTCCGCAACACAAATTTTTCTCGGGAGGAACAATACCCCCGAAAGCAAATTGACTATGTAGACGAGGAGACCAAGCGACGACGTCGACGAAGACGGGACTTGGGAACGGAAGTCAAATCAAGGAACACAAAGGTGCACCTGGAACACAATAGCTTCACAAATTGAACCTGTCACCAGAGTGTCGGATCGCATCGTCATCAATCATCCCACCACCACCACCACCGCCACGGTCACCTTATTTTTGCATATCTCAAAATAATGCAATCCAATGCACTCCTCGATCCTGTCACCTTTAATGATAAAAAATTGCCTCATTCTTTTTTACCATTTTCGATGCAAAATACGCAATATTATTCCAAGAAAGGTGCAAAAAAGGCTGGACTGAAATTCTCTCAGAAATTCAGGAATATTTCTTTCTCTTCTGATTTTTTTAGTCAATATTTTCCCAAAAAATGCTCAAAGATTGAAAAACTCTTCCTCTTTAACCTCTTTTGTAATCAAAATTCGAAACATTTCCTTAAAAAATTCAAAAATGAACCCCTCAGAAAAAATGTACAAGAAACGGACAAAATCTTCTCGGAAATTCCCAAATATTCCGATTTTTAGTCAAAATACGCAATATTTTCCTCAAAATTGCTCAAGGATTAAACCCACTCCGACAAAATGTCCAGAAAATGATAACATCCTCTCAGAAATCCCAATAATTTCTTCCTCTTCAATTTTTACCCAAAATAATCTTCAATAAAAATCCCGAAAATTAACCCCTCTCACAAAAAATTACAAAAATCGGGAACACAATCCTCTCAGAAATATCCACTTATCTATATTTCCTCCCGACTTATCATCATTACATTATTCCTTCCAAGATAAACCCATCCATCCAGGCAAAAAACACTTGACGCGTCCTTCGTCCCATCGCAAAGATCATCGGATCAAGAATCCAAAACTTGATTGTTTTCCATATTCTCCTCCTTCCATCATCTCTCTCTCTCCATTATAAATCTCGTCTCTCTCTGAAGAGCCCACTCTATTATTTCCATGCACTTCAACCAACTTCCATTAATTCCCCCGTAATGAAATGAGGCTCAAAATCTCTCCATCCTTCTAATTGACACTAATTGGTTGGACGACGAGAAATCATGAAGCATACTCACTACATAAATGCTTCTCAAGCAGCCGGATCCCGTCTCAATCTCAATAAATAAATCATCTTCTTCATCTCTGGTCCAAAATCCTCTCCAAAATACAATCCCTATTGTTTATCTCGTCAAAAGAGAGCACACACAGTACAGACAGTGGCCGCGGAAGCCGTGGGGACATCGGGGGACATTGCCCTTGTGGGAAAGGGAGGGGTCTAACAATAAATAACATGGGTTGATGATGGGTACATATATCGAATAACCGTGGGGACATTGTCCACACCCTTCCGCGGCCACTGACTGAGAATTAACAATTCCTTGTAAATACTTACGTACTACGAGCTTTCCAATTAAGCCGGGCTCTTATTATTTACTCTCTTACAAAAGTTATAATACGACAAACAAGACGCCTTTTACTTAAACAACAAAAGGACAAAACAAAACTCATCTTTCATCTGTAAACAATCCACTAATTTGTGAAGGAAATTGAATATAATTGTCTATTTATTTTTAAGTGCAAGACAGACTTATTAGCAAGCAAACTAACTCGGAAACCTTGTACATATAGTCTTCTAATTTGCATATTAATTTAATTTTAGCCATGCAAATAACTCAATTCCTGGTTTGCTTTAAACGAACCAACAAGTTGGAAAGGTACATAAACCAATTAATAATTGGTCTCGGTTTGTTGTTGTTTTCTGAAATGGCGAATAAATAGCTGGCCGCTTGGAAAGTGACGTGGTGGTGGTGGTGACTGAGGTGAGGCCTAATTGCCCGTAATTAAAAGTAATAAAACAACCAAAAACTCATTCACTATGTAGTAAAATAACTAACGATCCGTTTAAAAAAGGTGGTGGTGACTCTATATTTCATCACCAGAAAATACGACGCCCATCATTAACTAACCGGTCACTTAAATGACACCTGCTTTTAAAATGTTTTTATAGAAATTTTGGAGAAGAAAAATGAGGAAAAGTGTCACATTTAATTGACCAACTTTAACAGACCGGTCATTTATTTAAATGACACCTCAATGTCTCCGTCGCTCTTTTGTAACAGAAATTTTGGATAAAAATGAGTTAAAATGATGTATCATGTTTCCTTCCTTCTTTTTGTACAGAAACTTTGACAAAAATGACACATAATGTTCTTTTTTAACAGAAATTTTGGACAAAAACGAGCAAAAATAATGCCTAAATGTTTCCGTTCTTCTTTTTTAACAGCAATTTTGGACAAAACCGAGCTAAAATGATGTCTCATGTTTCCTTGTTTTTTTTATAGTTTTTTTGCAGAAATTTTGACAAAAATGTCACATAAATGTTCTTTTTTAACAGAAATTTTCACAAAAAATTTCCAAAAATTACACCTCAATGTTTCCTTCCCCCTTTTCACACAAATTTTCGGAAAAAATGAATGAAATGCATCCTCCCTCCTCAATGTTTCCTTATGCAAACATGCAAAAAAAGAATCTCAAAATGTTTCCACTTACTTTTAATCACACGCTCCGTCGTAGACAACTTTTGGGTTTGATTACTCGTCATTTTGATTACGTCTTCTTCTTCTTCTTCGTCACACTTAATGTTATCTTCTTGACTTTTTTCTTAATAAAAATTGAAGGCAAAAGGGCAGCAGATTTTTATAAGGTCAGTAATTTAGCAGCAGCGGTTAGCAGCAGCAGCAGGAGAGGTCAGCAAGTTCACACCGAGAGTCGTCTTTTTTTCTTCTGGATAAGTCTACGATCGATAACCACTCCCAATAATTTGGTCGTCGTTGTCGTATTTCTAATTTACATAATTATTATGGAACAGGACAGCAGAAGAAGACAAAAGTCTGTTTCGGAATATAATAATTTCCACCGAAAAAAATAAACAAACCGGAAAAATCTCTATGGACTTTTTAGATATTCACAATTTCCGAAAACTTGACGTATTTATTATTTTATTGCAGCTTTTTTTAGGGTGGCTTGCTTTCAATCCGGTCTTGTTATGTGACGCACACAGAGAGACAGACGAAAAAAAGGAGGTGACGAGAATGATGATAACGAAGGATAATTAATAATTCCAGGTAAGTAAACACGTACAACTTTTTTTAAGGAGAGAAGGTCACTTAATACATATTATTCCTCCCTTATCAACAGTGTTAACAAATTAATGCAGCAGATAAGTAAACGATAATTATATTATGATTTTTCCCGGCTAGTTATCCTCAATTATTGATAGATTTTTTTTCCTCTACTCGATTCTTCTTCTTCTTCACTAGGCAAACTTTCTCGCGTCATGTCATGGTGAAAGTTTTTCGCTCCCCAAACTTCGTCACCGATCACCGATAAGTCTGCCTTATCTTTCTTATCCTCGTGACCCCACCACCGCCTTCAATTCATCTACTTCTACAGTTCCCTACGGCCTCCCTCCCCACGAGAAGAACAAGTGCATGCATGCGGAGAGAAAGTCACTTCTATTTTTCAAATTTCAAAATTTCTTATCAAAATTCCAGCCGAATTTTCACTCTTTAACCAACCAACCTGCTTGTATTACTTATTTTTTAATACCAATCCCATCACCAGTTCGCTACTACCACCACACCACCACCACTTTTTTTCTACACCGACACGACGGACGGATTCTTCAAATAAAAATTCAATCCACACTTTTTTAATATGGTCTGAGAGAGATCTCGTCTCTTTTCTTACAATAAATCCAGACCTTCCATGTTAATACCAAACCACAAAAGAAGAGAGAAGAGACGTCTTCTTCTTCTTCTTCTTATTTTTTATTATGTACGTTCCGTAGGTGGGTTCTTCTTCTTCTTAATGTGTGTATGTAATGTAATGTAACATGTATGTATTTGCCTCACTATTTCAGAATCTCTTCTTCTCTCCTACATACAAAACTAAGTAAACCTCCTGCTGAATCTTTTTACTTTGCCCGTCTGCATGAATCCCATGCAGGAGGCGCCGTTTAAAGAGAGCCAGAGCTGCTTAAACAAGGACGGAATACGGGCTAAATTCTTGTATCCTAAAACTCAACCCTTTGGTGTGGTTCTCGGTTCTTCGGGTATAAACTTTGCTCAATGTGTGGATGTGGATCTTTCTGTATATATCTGTATCCATCTGACCATGTGATGTGGAAAGAGAATGAGTATATAAAACTAGTTTTGTGGCTCTCACAAAAACAGGGGTGTCCAAAGGTGAGGTGAATTCGCACAACCAGGGACAAAATAAGCAAATTATTTCCAGAGGAAGTTGCGAAATCTTCATCTTTTTCCCAGGAAGAAGGCGACATGCGGCACAGTTTTCCATACCCTGTATAAAACATTCATGAAACTCTTTCCTTGCTGAGATTCATGCTAAAAATTTGCGAATTTTTCCCTCCTTCCTTCAGGAAACCATTGACGACGACGTGTATGTCTCGCTCTTCGCGAGTCCGAGCATGAGCTGAATGTGTTTTCTGTGACGAAATATTCTCGACACGAACCGACAACCGTTTAAGACCGAACGAGTCCATGCGCATCTCTCCCCTGCACCAAAATGAAATGTTTTACTACTTTTTCTCGTACTACCAGCAGCACCACTTAAATAAAGTAGTGTGTGTACAAAGTGCTGGTCTTAATAATGCTTCCTTTCCTCCTGGTCTTAATAACGAAGGGACTAAAACAAACTAAACTAGCTAACAAAAACAGGACTTGGTTTGGTGTGTGAGCTGGGTGCCATAAAATAATCAAATCAAATGTTACTCTCCCAGCTTTCTCCAGACGTTGACGGCAAGCGAGATAATCTTGGTCTTGGTTGGTAACCTTTCTCTCTCCATGGACGGATTGGATTGGATTTCCCTTTGAAATAATGGTCACGACATGCCGTAACGTACAATAATGTGGTTATTTCGCACAAAATAATGCATTAAAGTGCGGGAGAAAGTTGCCCATATGTAATTTCGTGATGATGGTGAAGCAAGGTGATGATGCGCTATGATTTTATTTTATCAGAGCGAGAGAGATACACTTTCTCTACATGAATTTGGGTTTCATGACTAAAATACATTACAAAATTTATTAATTTAAGCGTTTTTCTACTTTCTAAACTTTCTCCGGCACGATTCATGAAATATGAAACTATTTCAGCGTGAAAGTTGCAGGTTTTACATTTAATATGTATCAAAACACATTTCATACTTGTAAAATTTTTGCTACGTAATCACATTTCATTTTTTGGTACAAAATCTCAAAAAATTCACAAAAGACTTCTGCATCAAACTTTCTCCGGAGCACAAAAAGTTGTAAAGTTGTAACGTCCCAAAAACTTTTTTCTTCGAGTTTATATATGTTTAATTTAATTAAGATTCAGAATCACCTTCTCGTCCATTTAAATAAATTTCATAATTTTATAAATCCCCATAATTATTGTATTTCAAAATATAATAAAATTACGACAAAAAATAAATTTTAAAATTTCGAAACTATGAAAAAATAGATTAAAAATTGTGGGCAACCTTTTTTCTCATCCTGCAACGTGAGGGAAGGTTGAATTGGGATGAGATTTTGCTGCTCAAGTTGAGTGGCTGACGTGTACTGTCAACACAGTTGGGCAATAAAAAAAGCGACATTTTAATCATTCAGCCAGAATTAATTATTCAAATTAACTCGGACGTGACGTCGTCACAATTTTGCAGTGGGGTTGGCACATTCAATCACCGTGGGGAATTAATCCGGGGGGACGGACTGACCTAAAACCTGACCGGCAACGAAAAGGTTTTCAATCAAGTGTCAAGCAAAAAATTAAAGGTGAAAGGATCAAATTTTAATTTTGCCAAGTTTGCACTTTAGTTAAAGATTAGATTTAATTAGTTAATAAGTTAGTTAGTTAGTTATGAAAGAGGACAGATTAAAATGAGCTCATCTTGCAGGATGTGTGATTTAGTTATTTGATTTGCAAATGGTGAAGTGTGGTTAATGGAGATTTAAAGCTAAATAGTTAACTGTCCATCTTGTTCTGATCATTGACGTGGACAATTCACACCGATTAATAGTGTTCGTCCTCAATTTTAAATATGTCAAAATACGGAATTAATTTTATTTTAACCATTTCCATGATGAGTGACGAGGAAAAATTTAAAAATTTGGTGTAATTACCAGTTATTCCGGTCATCAATAGCCCTGTCATCATAATTGACTATAATTAAGACGTGAATTTGCAATTACTTAATTAATTTTCTTCATTTCCTCTTCCACCAAATTAGAATAGTGGACTGGACTGGATTATTGAAATATATCCTGATAACCTACCCTGTGCCCTCCATCCTCTCTGAAAATCAAACGTCGTAACGATGAATTTCAGAAGAAAAGCATTCCTCGCCTTCGTCCTCTTGGCGCAAGTGTCATTCCTGCAGGGCGATGAGCACACGCACACCGTACGATCTAAAAATTCAAAACCTATCCCTATTTATTTCACAATTAAACTTATTATTACTAAATTTCTACATAGTACAAAGCGACGGAAGAGGTTATCCTCTGGATGAACACGGTCGGGCCGTACCACAATCGCCAGGAGACGTACAGCTATTATTCCCTCCCCTTCTGCGCCGGACCGAAAGAACAGATCGGACATTATCACGAAACTCTGGGCGAAGCGTTGCAAGGATTCGAACTCGAATTTTCTGGATTATCAATCGACTACAATTGTAAAATATTTCAAAATTTGCATTTTTCATTTATAAATTTTCCAAAAACTCATTATTTTCATTTCCACTCAATTTCAGCCGAAACACCGGTCTCCGTCTACTGCAAGATTGAACTCAACGACGAAAAACTCAAGGCTTTTCTCTACGCGGTGAAAAATAAATATTGGTATCAAATGTTTGTCGACGACTTGCCAATTTGGGGTAAGAATTTGCGAAATCTTTGCAATTTAAAATACTCCATCATACATTACTTTTTGCGATTTTCAAAATATTTCCAAAATCATTCCGAATTTTTTATGCAGGCCTAGTCGGCGAGGCGGACGAGACGAAAGGCGAATATTCGATCTACACCCATAAAAAGTTTGAATTCGGCTTTAACGGAAACCAAATCGTGGATGTGAACATGACCACGGAAAACAAAGTCCAGCTCGTCCTCGGATCCACGATCTCCTTCAGTTATGAAGTATTCTGGAGAAAATCCAGCGTAAAATATGAAGACCGATTCGACAAGTATTTGGACCCCAACTTTTTCCAGCACAGGATTCACTGGTTCTCAATCTTCAATTCGTTCATGATGGTCATCTTTCTCATTGGCTTGGTCTCCATGATTCTCATGAGAACGTTACGCAAGGATTACGCCAGATACGCAAAGGATGAAGAGATGGATGACATGGTAGTAAAATTTACATATTTTACCACGTGGGTATCTTTGCCAATGTTTGGCATGGGTTATGGCTAGGGGAAAATTTTGACCTCTAAAACTCGTCAAGTTCGTTTTGGAGGTGAAAATTCGTTAAAAATTTGTCAAACATTCGAGAAAAATTAGACTTTTGGAAATCAAAATTGGTATAAAATTTGATTTCTAATTTTTTGACCGGCTTAAATGGTACCTGGTGGAATAGTTAACTCCACTTTTACGCTAATTGGACCAGATAATTAATTAATACTGATAATCACTCCAGGATCGCGACCTTGGCGATGAGTACGGTTGGAAACAAGTTCATGGCGACGTATTTCGCCCTGCCGCAATTCCCATGGTCTTTTCCACCTTTTTGGGGACGGGATATCAACTCCTCGTCGTCACCTTTGTCGTCATCTTGTTCACAATTTTGGGCGAACTGTACACCGAGCGAGGCTCCCTCTTGTCCACGGCGATTTTCGTGTATGCTGCAACCTCCCCGATTAATGGATACTTTGGTGCTAGCGTGTATGCCCAGATGGGTGGAAAGGTGGGTAGAAACATATTTTATGCTAATTAAAAATTTCGCACTATGCAAATATTTCTTGCAATAATAGAAATGGATTCGCCAAATGGTCTGTTCCGTCGCCCTGCTGCCCGCCGTCGTTTGTGGGACGTCGTTCCTGATCAACTTCATTGCTATGTATTACCACACTTCGAGAGCTATCCCGTTCGGTAGTATGGTACGTATTACATTACATTCATGACCTGCTTTGTATGACTGATCTGACCTCAATTTTCTGTCAGGTTGCCGTTGCCTGCATCGTTTTCTTCGTCGTGCTCCCCCTCACTCTTGTGGGGACCGTGCTGGGTAGAAATTTGGGTGGCCAAGCGGACTATCCCTGCCGTGTGAATGCAGTCCCTCGACCAATCCCGGAAAAGAAGTGGTTCATGGAGCCCACGATTATCATCGCGCTCGGTGGCGTTCTCCCATTCGGATCCATCTTTATCGAGATGTAAATCAAGCAAATAATAATAGATTGTGGTACCTGGGGGATTTTTTGAGGGGATTGATTTGATCTTACTGCAGATGGTGTCAGTTCAATTGATATTGCAAAATTATGCAAATGCAGAGTTACAGAATTCCAAAAATTTACAACTACATTTTTAGCCTTGGTACATGTCTTCGGGTAAATATGTGGGCGGAATTATATAGTATTTTTACATATCGTGATCGTAGCACGATATGCATAACTTCATTTTCGCACTTATATTATTCGCCGTGTCATAATTTCGCTATTTTGTGAAAAAAGTCGATTAAACTGCGACAAAATTAATTAACTCCATTAATTAAGTCGAAATAACTCATTAAAATATTTACTGATTAAATCTTCCCTCCAGGTACTTTATCTTCACGTCTTTCTGGGCTTACAAAATCTACTACGTCTACGGCTTCATGCTCCTCGTCTTCGCCATCCTACTCATCGTCACGGTCTGTGTCACCATCGTGTGTACATACTTCCTCCTAAATGCTGAAGACTACCGGTGGCAGTGGACCTCCTTCTTCGCCGCCGCCTCAACTTCCGGATACGTTTATATATATTCCATCTACTATTTCGTGTTTAAAACAAAGTAAGCAAAAGAAAACAAAATTAACCCAACAAATTTTTATTAATTTCCTCCCTTTCCAGAATGTACGGCCTATTCCAAACGGCTTTCTACTTTGGAAACATGGCCCTTTTCAGTCTCGGATTGGGAATCATGTGCGGAACCGTGGGCTACATTGGGAGTTCCTATTTCGTTCGAAAAATCTACTCCACCGTTAAAATTGATTAATCAACGATCGATAACACCCAGAAATGAAAACTGCTGATAAATTACCTTTTTATAGTGATACGTACATACATATTTAGTTAGTTAATTAATTAAGTAATTAATTAGGGTAAAAAATGTAACACAATCCCTCTCGCCATCGAAAAATCCAGTACACCGTACTTATACTAATTCTTACTTGATTTTCTCTAAACTAAAACTTCACCCAGGAAAAATATCCAAGCAAAATCAGTAATGCAATCCTTCCTTAAATTATTAATTTAATTCTAGTTAACTGCACTGCACCGTTGATTTTTTACTCAACTATATAGCCAGCAAATATTTCTTTAATAAACCTTATAAATATTTAATAACTACAAAATTCCTAAATAGATAATCAATAATCAATCAATCAATCAATACCAGAATAAGATTATCACCATCCAATTATCCATGGGCTTATGTATAACACATTTTTGTACACATGTCAAATATGTAAATGTATTTAAAAGTAGAAAACGCAAATGCAATCTTTTTTGCTTGTACTTTACCATTTTGTATTAATATCGCGTATACATACAAACATCAATTTCCTCGTTCTTGTAAAATAGCGTTAAATACTATTTAAAAATGGTAAATTGTTAATTTAGTAGAAGAAAAAACTCGAACCAAAATCTTGATAAATTTTGAATTTGCTTTATTTATATATTTATAAATTGGGTAATATTAGCCGTTAATCGTCTCTTGTAAGTAATGTACTTCATTTATTTAATTTTAGAGCGATGATCATACTGGATTTTTGAGTCATTAGTTAGTTTTCTAGGAAATTACTCATAATTGCATAATTTTATGCAGTATAAAAAATAGTAATTATTCAATAAGTTGTAAGTACTTATTAAGCGTAATTTAGTAACGAATTCTCGATCCACAATTCAACCCGGACAGTAAATTAAAGCCATAATTTTTACAAAAGTGTGACTCCGACGACGACAACAAGCTTTAAAAATTGTGAAGTAGCGACAAAATATTATGAACTCCTACTCGGCTATAAGATAATTAATTAATTAACTAATTATGTAAATTAGAGGTGGACGAACATATCAAACTATTAAATAAAAATAGGAGATAAGTCAAATTATCAATAGTTGCATGGTATCTATCTATCGGATTAAAGAGAGGAATATGTGTCGGACTGAGAAAAGGGAAGACTTTTTAGCCATGTACGTACGAATGAACACGACGTAAATAAATAGCAAAAAAGTACTTTGTAATATTATTAATTTTAAAAAATTATCCAACATTTTCATAAACCTTGTCTATCTAATTCCACGCTTCATCTTTCCCAGTTCGTTTTACATACTTGAGCAGGATAAAAAATAAAATAAAATTATAAAAACTGTTTCATCTTGTATGAATTTTGACAAAATTTTGCCATTATTTGGGGGTTTTATTTTTCAAAAGTTTTTAGCATTGCGAATGCCGAGAATTTTAGTTTTTTTACAGAGAAGCATCGTTTCATGTTGTTTCACATGTATGCAAATTCTCTATAGCAGAGATGTGGAACCATAAAGAAATCCCACTTGCAAAGAAACTTACCCGGCAGAAACATCATGAAAGTATGTAAATAAAATGCATGCAAAACACAATTTAACCAAAATTTATCCAAAAATTACTTCCTGGAAGGAGACAAACTGCCAAATTCTTACCAGGAAAACTAATTTCATGAAAAGCTCACCAACTAATTTTTCATAACGACCATGAAAGTGAAAGTGCCATTCTCGCTAAACGAAGAAAAGTTGACCCCGTTGCTCCTCACTTTTGTCGTCATCTTATCAAACATTCACTTATCGAGATGTGACCACTGTTGTCAATCTTCACACTGGGTGGGCGAAGACGAATCCAATAACGGTGATGATACGCCCTCCCCAACGCCGACCACAATTCTTGAAGGGATTAAAACTTTTCAAGAACAAAGGGCTCAAGAATGTGGGGCTGAGGACGACGAAAATTGTGGGGGAAGCCGGGGGAGGAGGACAAGGGACACTTCTAGCAAAGAAAAACGGTAGAATTTCAATATTTTAATAATTTTTTTATAAAATGTGTCACAATTTCGCCGAAAAAAATTTTTTTACACTTTTAAACATAATATTAATATAATTATCAGATATCATTTCATGCAAGGTAAAATTTCATACTAAAATTTTAACAAAAAAAACAACTATAAATCAAAAAAGCTCAAAAAAGTTATTACATTTTTCAAAATTTTGCGTATAAAAATAAAACACTTTAATAATTTTCAAAGTTTTTATCAAGCTTTTTATCCGAAAAAAATATTTTACGTTTTTCAACATAACTTTTCATCAAATTCTTACATGTGTTTGTTCCATTTTCAGAATTTTTAATAAAAAAAACATTTACAAAACTATTTTTCGAAATTTTCTCCATAAAACGTTTCATATTTTTTTCAACAGCTACATTTTATACGAAATCAACCCCGGAGAAGGATTTAATCTCCGGAGAGATATCTTCGTCCGCATTGCTCCTCTCATAAAATCGTTAAATTCTAAAATTTCCACCCAATTTGACTGGATTTTGGTCCTTCCCCCGTGGCAAGGCATCCCCCATTGGAGGCACACCCCTCGAAAGGACTCATTCCCCTGGGGAACTTTCTTCTCCATCGAATCTATCAAAAAATACGTTCCCGTTTTAGAGTGGGATCAATTTCTTGATGGTAAAATCACATACAAAATGACTTCGTATTTTGATAACGTTTAATGATAAGGTAAATTTTATTCCAGAATACGGATTCCACTCTGGATTAGACGTTATCTTCAATTTGGCTCATTTTCCACTCAACAAAGACGACAATTCTTGGCAGGATGAGGTCAAACTGAATCCAAATTGTGATACTACGAAATCAATTCCGTTCTCATTCGAAATGTATGAAGTAGTTATAATAATGCTTAAATATTATTCAGACTGGTTCCAACTTATCAATTGATAAGGTAATTATTTCACCCAATAAACAGGCAGAAGGATAACTCTTATTGGGGAAATATGTGGGGTCATCCCATCACGACGGCGCGGATAGAATGCGTCTCCCTCCGAGGAACGGGGCCCACACTCCTCCCACTAATAAAAGAGGAGGGACTCCGGTAATAATTTAATCAATAATTACACAACGTATTTAATTTGCATAAAATATTTACGAAGATTAGATTAGAGACATGAATTATGACCCATTTTTTGCAACAGTGTCAAGATTTTGTTCGCAATCTGATTTTTCAACAAACTATTTCTGAAGTCATCAAACTATTTACAAAATTAGTGTATTTTTGAAGAGAAATAGCCCAATATTTACAAAAAATTTACGAAAATTCGGAAACATCGCACAGAATATTGAGAAATATTTAAGATTTCAGTGATTTACACAAGTTGCATCTCACACCCGTCAAGATTTATCATTCATCAAATTAAAAAGTCAAAAAAATTAATATATATTAATTAGCTAATTAATTAATTAACAGCTGCACCGCAATCTTCCTCTCCTCCGCGGAAGTCATTCTTTGGGACGAGTACGGCAGCGAGGAATGGTGGAGGGCGAGAGCGGCCTTAAAATTTTCGTCGAATTTAGTCACTCTGGCGGAAAATCTAGTCCTCAAATATTTCCAGTCGCCATCCTCATCGTCGCCATCGGACGCCAAGGTCAAGGTCACACCATACCTCTCCGTTCACCTGAGACGAAGAGACTTCCTTCTGAGAAAAGATGGCAAGTCGTTGTCCTTGAAAGACGTTGCTGACCAGATCGCCAGGGTTTGTGCAGAGTTGAAATTTGAGCACGTTTTTGTCGCGACGGATGCAGATGAGAAAGGTACTTAATTAGTAATTAATTACGAATCCTTAATTAACTAATTATTAAATTGTTAATCAATGTTAATCAATTGCATTTCAAGAACGCATCGAGCTCATAAAATTACTCGGAAACATTTCCGTAACAATGTCATCCTGTCCCCCCAATTCGCCCCCACTTTCTGAAGGGGAATGTGCCATTCTGGACCAATTGGTGTGTTCTTTAAGCCCCCATTTTATCGGGACGGAGGGGTCGACCTTCACCCTCCGCATATTCGAGGAACGCCTCCTTCACGGAAAAACGCCAGACTCGACGTTCAACTATTTCTGTGCGTCAGACAAGAAGACTTCCGACTGTCCAAAACCAACGAGATGGTTGATCCCTGATGTGGCCAAAGATTTAATTTCTTCTACTTAAAAATATTCATTTATAATTTTATGAAAATGAGATTAATTTATTACACAAACGTCATAAAACTTATGGAAAAGAAGTTGATTAAATGGGCGACCAATTATTTCTAAATGCACAAAAATCTACACGTTATTTGAAAAATGTTGAACTTTCATGCCACTCAGGGAAAAGATTTACTATTCAAATTCATACCATGCAAACTATAGGTTCGTATAGAGTAATACTCTCGACATGCCAAATCCTATGCAAAATTCCCTGAAATATAAACCCACCCATGCAGAATTATTGCACACATTCTTTCATCTCAAAAGTCATCCTTACTCTCAAAACTGCAAACCGTCCACTTTCCCGATTATTTTCTAGTTGAAACTAAGTATTTTCAACATTGGCAATAATTTTCATATTGGGTGTCATTTTAAAGGAAAGTTGACCGAGACTTCAAGAACATTAATATTTTTGACCTCATGACCTTGAGGACGAGGTTGAGGATCATAAATACATAATTATCAGATACGGTGTCATTTTAGGGGAAATTTCGATCGTTCTGACGCTACTTTTTATATTGGTTTGGTTTGTAAGGGTTTATTTTTATTTTGGCGTAAAAATCATACGAAATTGAATAAGTTAAACGCCAAAATAAAAATAATATTAAATAATATATGATACAATAATATTATTTTATCATTATAATAATAAAATAATCCTCTTCCGACCCTATCATTTTACGCTTTCTCAAGTTAGAGACATATTGGAGAGTAGAGGGCTGATCACGAAAGCAGGCAATTTCCCTTGTTCCTTGGCTGAAATGCAACAATTTCATGAATACCTCATGGATATCTCCAACCAACTCTCGCATTAACCAGTTTTTTATGAACCAGGTTCATTTAACTAACAGGAAAATATGTACATATATTCCCCAAACTATATTATAATTCAAATAATATTTCAAATAAATTTCGCTTTCAGAACTGTCGAGATTTGTATAAATTTGAGCAACGTAAAATTCTAACCTCACCAAGGAAAAAACAAGGAAATCCACTAAGCATGTCGAAAACAAGTTAGTAACTTCCATTTCCTATTCTAGGTTACATTTCTTGCACTACAAAGCAAGAAACTGCAAGAAACTAAGAAAAATGCGACGTTTGAAGCGGTGGGGCGTCGTTTCTACCATTACTTGCAGGTCAAAATAGCCCAAAGAAACCACTTGCGGTGCGGTTATTTCTTGCAAGTGATTACTTCCACAAGTAACACTGGGAACAAATCGGATGCAGTTTTTTTTAGTCCAAGTCAGGGCTCATAGTTGTCTGTGTCTGGCTGTCTATCTATTATACGCTTGTAAAACTTAGCTAATTGACTTGAAATTTTGCATACATTTACATGGAACATACAAAATTTGAAATCTAAATAGTTCGAAGATGCGCAAAGTCTTTAGAAAAGTAAAAAAACAATTGTATCCACAACCCCACCCACCTCAATTATTACTAGCTAACAACCTGACTCGGGCTAAATACCGCTGCACTGTGAGACTTTAACTGTACAGTTTGAAACTGAGGTTGATTTCTTGCTTTCAATTTGTTAGTCAAAAATGCATAATTTTCATGCAGTGTCATTTTACATTTCATTTTTTATATCCGGTTAATTTTCCATCCCTCCTCGCACCCGGCGTCGTCTCTTTGCTCATTCACTCGCTACATACATTTCTCCTCACACCGCTGCCACTACCCGGGTATTTACCAGTTAAGTTGGTCCTCATCTCGGTCTTACTCATTAGAATAATTCCTTCCTTGGCAGGAACAACATCTGCCGAGCTCGTCGCTACATATTCTCACCTCTCTCTCACGATAAGTAAATCCTCGACACAATGTGAGACTTCTTTTCTTCCCCTCAGTTTTTCCGTGCCTCACTTTCTACCATGCAATTTTAGGAAAAGTTGCAAGGTGAAAGTGCACTTTCTCTTGTTTCAAGACACCCCCAAATCCTGTCTCGAGCAGGGTGAAAACAATTAAATGGTGACAGATTCACTTAATTAAAGCGTTTCTTAACCCGGAAAATGTATACGATTCGTGCCTCAAAATGCACACACAAAATTCTATAAAAACAAGCAAATTATACAAAAAGTGTAAGTGAATAAAGCTACCTCAGCAACTCCACACTTTTCAGCAGTACAATTTATCACTAATTAACAAGAAATGAGATTACATTCCACCAAATGTATACGATTTGATGCCTCAACATAAATTAAAAAAAAACGAAACGTCGAATTCTTAAAATTTTTAAAATTGCTACCGGTATACGATTTATGTAAAGACTTTAACAACGATAAACTCTGTGTGAAACACGATACGACTAATAATTCTGTGACTTTTCCTAAAAAAAGGAGACAAATTTAACTTCCTCACTGAAATAATATGTTACATTTGAACAATAAATTATGGATTTTACGGGAATATTTATAATTCTGGAAATATGGTTCAAAAATAGAATAAAAACGCAATAATTGTGATATTACTATTGGTTCAAGTGAAAATCATCTACCTCAAAAAGCTACGAATAAGCTTACTAGTAAAAAAAAGTTATCCAACTCGGAGGCGAAGTGAGACTTCCAAATAAAGTCATTCCGTCTCAAATCATCTCAAATTCGAGTCGTCTCAAATTCCCACACCACGATCCAAAATAACAATCAGAAATTATAAATAAATAAAACTGTTACAACCTCAATTTACTAACTATAAGAAAACTTAATATTTAACTTGGATAATTACATGTTATATAATTAGATAAGCACGTGGCACAGCATTACATTTACATTTCGTGGGGAAATTGAGACTCGCGACGAGCTGGAGCATTAGTGTGTAAAGAGGGGAGCGAAAAAAAGCAACTGGGCCACTTTTATGGTCCGTGGTCAGTTTTACGGAGGAGGAGAAACTCACAAAAAACTACGCACCTTTTCACCCGCTTTCACCCGCTCCGGGATGAGTCCCACTCGTCCGAAATGGGACAAATCCCTTTAGTGACTACCTCCCCTAAACCAGAGTCCGACTATAAAAGATTATTCATAAAAGCACTCGTACTTCCGGTCAAAACTTTCTGGCCCACACAATTAGCATACGACCACGTGGTGACGAAAAATTAACATTTTCTTCAAATCCTTCGGGTCGTGCCATGGACGAAGGTGGTGTTCCCCCCGAAACGGGTGGGTATGACGCTGAAGAAGACCTTCTTCCCGGATCCAGTTCAAGCAGCGAGGGTCGCCGAAAACGGAGGCGGAAGACAAAGTCGGCACGACATCACCACCAAAAAGTGACCAGAATTTCATCCCCCGCCCCCCGAATAATGGATGGGGACTTGGCGGTGGAGACGTGTCACTTCCACTGGCCCAACCACCTCCCCCACATCCTCGCCTCGTTCGAAGCCCTCCTCACCGAGGAGACCTTTTGTGACGTGACGCTGATTTGTGGGGACGAAATGGTCCCCCTGCGAGCCCATCGACTCGTCCTGTCCGCATGTTCGGACTACTTTGAGCGGATCTTGACCGAGAACCCGTGCTCCCAGGCGGTCATCGTCCTCAAGGATTTCGCCGTCTGGGAGGTGGAGGCCCTGCTCGACTGGATGTATCGAGGCCAGGTGGGCGTCACGGAGGAAAACGGAGACGCGCTGGTCAGCACGGCCAAATCATTGCAGGTGAAACTAGTTAATTTCTTAATTTTCCAATCCCCTCGTCTCCCCAATTTTTTGCAGAGTTGTAAAATATTTAAGGCACTTAATTGTAATGCAATTTCAACATTACAAGAGGTCAAATAGGTCAAAATCCTCATTATTCCAGCCTCTATTTCCTTAAAAAAAGGCAAAGGTCGACGCCGTAGGACGCCGGTAGCATTGTACGCGCTTCAGATTAATTTAATTGAATATTACTTCAATATTAAGATACCGCGCCCCTAACGCCACCTAAAAATCACCAAAATTAGCGCCTCTGCAGCTTTAAAATTGGACGGCGTTGACCCTTCCTGAAAAATGTCCCAAAATTAACCCCTCACTTGAATTCATTTTTTCATTATCTCCACAGATTCGAGGACTTGCCGAATCCCTTCTTTGGCATATAAATCCACCCTCCAAGATCCCGAAAATCGACAACTTTTCCCCCGAAAATTCCAACCCTGCGACCACTCCACTTAACCTGTCTCGCCCAACGATCTCATCACCAAATAAGGAGGAACAGGATCCCTACCACCATTCAGTCCCCACTTCCGGTTTGGTCTCCTTTCAAGAAGAAAACAGTCCCCATAACCCCTTGGACTTCACTCGGGTCCAAAATCACTCTCCTCCACCGACTCGCTCCAGTATCCCCCTGCCCCGGCGAAAACAAGCCCGACCTCGCCGAAGGAGTGGAGATTTCATCGCCCAAGACTTAAGAAAACCATCTCCTGCTTCCGGCTTTCTCAGTCGAGAACAGAGCGACGCCGAGGAGCACGTCGCCTTCCGATTTGATGACGATGATGACGAAGAAGACGACCCCTTCGTGTTTGACGAGGACTTCGCCCACGATCACGATCCGGGGATGAATGACCGGTCATCCCTGGAGGGTGAAGTCTTCTCCTCAGTTTCCCCAAAGGAGGAGGAGGACGAGAACGAGGAAAAATTTCTTCGGCGGACAAGAAGATCATCTCGTTTCCTGTACGACGACGAGTACGACGAGGACGATGGGGAGTTTGAGGGTCACGAAATACTCGACTACACGATGCCACCTTCGAATACTTTGAGTAGCAGGGAAGAAAGGGGGACGGACCTTAAACAGACCGCGAGAGAGGAACGAGTCCTTCTCCCTCCAGGAACCGTAGGAAATGGCTCGTTGCATCAGCAGAACCTCGTTTTTCTACGGGGATATAACCCCACCATGGCACAAGGCGGAAAGGTAACGGAGGTTGCAAATATTTAACGTAGGATTTAATAACTCACCATCAAATTTTCAAAGTCGGCATATTTTTAATCATTTCTCGACTCTGGGAATTTATGGAATTTATTTTAAAATTCTGAACGACAAATTTGTAGTCAGTAAGTTGAGTAATGGAGTGGCCCTGAGTTTTTTCAGCCAGTTTCAATGAGTTCCAATTTTTTTTGAAGGCTTATTAAACTTGAGATCTCCTCCTTCAAAAAGTGTCAAAATCTGGAGGGTATATTTGTAAGAAATTGGCAATGACATGTTCTACAAATTCGTCGTCCAGAATTTTAAAATAAATTCCCAGAGCAATGGAATAATTGAAAATTAATTTGCTGATTTTGACGAGTTTGGCTCACATTTAATTCAGCAGTAAGAAGAACTTTTATGTACAAATTCCAGTTTATGAATCCGGGCGAGATACACCATCACCACCGCAATAATAATCTCAACCACCACAAGGGGCCCTTTTCTCCCCCGGTCCGGTCTCCCTTTCCCCTCAATGCCGACCCACTCCTCGCCTCGTTCCCCTTTCTGCCAGGCCTCCTCCCTCCACCCCCGCACCTCCCCCTCTCCTCCCCCACCGGCAAGAGGAACCCGTCCCCCCTCAGCCCTGCCCCATCCCTCCCACCAAACTCCTTCCTCTCCACGTCCGGAGCAATCCAAATCACACCGCTAGGCGGAGATCCAGAAAGTCCGCATAAAACGACCCCCACGACGAACTCGTCCCCAGCGGAATTTTCACCGGGGGGACAGACGCACGAATCTGGGAGTAAGCAACAAGTCCAGTCCAGCAGCAGAAACGGGGGAAAGCAGGTCAACCGGAATCACTACCATCACCATCACCACCCCCACTGGCCGGGAATCTCACCGCTCGGACCTCCCCCCATTTTTGGCAGGCATCGCGCCCAACATAGTGCACCCAGGGGAGGCAAGTTATCCCAGTTTTTACTAATTCGAACGAAAAATTTCCTTGCTTTTTCCATAAATAAAGTGTGGAACATGTTTGGCTTGCTTTCCAGGTCCGCCACGTGCTTGGAGCAATGCCGACCTCACTGAGGCGCTGCACAATGTGTGGAACAAAAAGATGACGACATCACAGGTGAGCAGAATTAAACCCCTGTTTAATCACTATCTTTTCCCTGTTACGTACGTAAACGTATTGTCAAGTTCGTCTCATAATGGAGGCCTCTCAGCCTATGCTCTCCGATTTTGAGCAAATTAATGCCAATCAACAACAGATTTAGTTAATATGAAATCTGCAAAGGACACGATCTTCCAATGCTCACGTTTGGCAGAGATATTTGCATCCGAAGAGGAGAAAGCCTAAAGTTGACAATACACTTTCCAAATTTACTGTGCGTTTTCTCCACTTCGGATGCAAATATCTCTGCCAAACGTGCCCATCAGGAAATCGTGTCTTTTGCAAATTTCACACTAACCAAATTTGTCCTCGATTGCCACTACTTTCCCCAAAACCAATCTGGGATCACCTCCATTCTCACTAAATACCCAACTTTCACTTTTCCCAGGCCTCCCGCATCTTCGGCATCCCTTACAACTCTCTCCTCATGTATGTCCGAGGCAAATACGGGAAATCTCTCAAGCTCGACGTTCTCAAAAAAGGGTTGGATCAAGCCATGGAAAATTCCAACATCGCCGCCGCCGCCGCGGCCGCAGCAGCTGCCACCTCCCTCAAATCCAGTCCCAACAAGACCCCCTCTAATGGAACCCCTCTTCCCCCCACGACCACGTCCCCCCTCACGACTAACAACTCATCCCCGTGCGCTCCATCAATAATTCCACCACGCCACCCTCCCCAACCAAGAAACAAGGTCCCAATTCCGCTCTTTTACACTCTCTCCATCTCAACGGCAATAACAAAATTCCCGAGACGAATAATAATAACAGCCACACCCCTCACCCCCATCCCCACGGCCACCACCACTCCCACCACAAAAGTTCCCACGGGAAGCTGCTCCAGAGTAACGGAAATGTTGTAAACGTGGAGTCTCACCTTCCCCAAGACCCGCATCCCATGGGAGGATTTAACCCCTTCTTCTTCCCCGACTTTGGAAACCCTTTCCCCTTCGCGTCAGCTCTCCAGCACATCCTGCCCCCACATTTGGCAGGCCATCACAACCACCACGTCCACCATCACGTGCATAATAATAATAAAGGTGCTAATCATCACGGGAATGGGAGACCGAACTCCGTAGGACAGCAGCAGCAAGAGCACCATCAAATCAGACAAACGGCTGCTAGCGTGCTTTTGGATTAGGAGAAGATTGTGGGACAATTTTTTTCGGAGAAATTGGGAAATCTATAAGATTTCCCTGATTTAAATAAGATGGAAAAGTTGAGCAGCAATACATACGTACCATATTTATACATACAGGATTCTTCACCACTTTGTCGAGTTGTATGTGTGTAGTTTATGGTCTCAAGGTGAACGAAATTAGTTCTTAACCAAACCTCGTACTTAAAAGTCGACTTCGAAATCCATAGTGTTTCATTTTTGCAGGTTTTTGCTACATTTTTTGCCCTGCAAAGCAAGAAACGCGAGGTACAAGAATCTGGGAGAAAGTGCAAGAAATATGCGTCATCTAGTCAGGAAATACAACGGCGTAGTTTCTTCCGTCGTACATTTCTTGCAGGTCAAAATACCTGCAAGAAACCACTTTCTTGCCATTATTTCTCGCAATTTGCGAGTCATTTGCGAGTCGCAAATGACTACTTGCACCCGAAAATCCAGTATACCCGCTAAAGTTGTTAATTAGTTATCTTTATTGAATGATAGTGCAGGCAGGTAATGTACAAAATGCCAAATACTCACAAATAAATACCTCTTCAGTGATACTATTGGACGTGAAGAAATGCAACCAAGTATACGATTTAGATCCAGACTCTTCACGGGTTGGATCCGCCTCTCTCAAGAAAATCATAAAAAATGTAATTTATTCAATTAATTAATAACAATTTAACCTTCCAGTTAATTAATCTGCTCTTAAGAAATTCAGCTGTTGCGTGCGTATGTAATTAAAACGGGTTTTCTAGCTTATAAGTCAATATGAGACGGGTAAAATGTATGTTCTCTATGTAAATGAATCTACCTCAAGATTTACCTCAGCAACTGTTAGGATAGGTCGTAAGTAAGTTAACCTTTTAAAAACGGATTCCACCAATAAGGTGGAGGGCGATTTCGATCTCTTGGCGACGGACTACACCAATAAGGTGTAGGCCAACTTTTTCTCGTTGGCGACGGATTCCACCAATAAGGTGTATGGTTACAGAATTCCGTTGAGACCGGGCTACATCAACAAGGTGTAGGAAAAAATAAAAATAAAATGACCGAGAAAATTTTCTCAGTTCCATTCTTTCCTCCTTATCTGTCGTTGGTTTTTCTTCAAGCCTGAACTAATTTTTTTAGAGTTTAGAGTTGTAGTTGTAGTGGGGGGAGGAACTCGGAGGAAGTGCATCAGAGGTCACGCCGCGCCCCCGAAAAATTATCCAACATTGGCGCCGCTAATAAATTGGTCGGCGTTGACCTCTGACCTGTATCATGTTGTAAATATGATACAGTTCATATTTTTTTTAAATTATCACAACGTTCTCTTTAGCTAATATATTCGCAATAGTGTCACCACCACCATGTTAAAAATGTATTATGTTATAATTTTTGTTGTCGAATCAGTTCCAGGTCTCTAATAAATCATAACTGCATCAGTAGAATATTCAAAATCGGTTTGCATTAATTCAGTCCCCAACTGATTTTATCACCGCCCCACAAGTCGGTCTCAATGGTATTCTGCCCCCCAGTAAATCCGCCCCCAAATGCAATAGAAACCATTTTTAATTCCGTTTTTAAATGGTATCCAGGTCAAAATTAATTAGTTTTTATAAGGTTAAGGGAGACGAATCTACCTCAGAAAAATCTCGCATTTTTCACCGATTCAATCCAATGGAACCATCTACCTCACAAACATGTACAGTCTTTGATAACAACTAACATTAAATTACCTCATTAAATTAACGATACTTTTTAACGGTGTGCATGAGATTGGTACAATCTGCTATTTAATGTTAATTCGTATCTTTAATCGATTAAGTTTCTTCTGATTTCAAATATTTTTTTATTGATGAACTCACAATGGAGGTCTCCCAGCGTAGGCTCTCCGATTTTGAGCAACCGATCTCAAATTTAATTAGCATGAAATTTTTGGGCAGAAATATTTGTATGTGGAGAGGAGAATACGCGTAATATATTTGAAAAGTGTGAAATTTGTCAACTTTAAAACTCATTTTCTCCTCGTTGGATGCAAATATCTCTGGCAAAAGTGCGCATTGGTATTTTGGGATGTTGCAAATTTCATGCTACTTAAATTTGAGATTGATTAACATTAGTTTGCTCAAAATCGGAGAGCCTAAGCTGGGAGACCTCCATTCAAATTTAAGATTGTTGGCCAAATTTTAGTTGGTAGCAGAGTAGTAATTACCGTGTGTGATGTTTACTTTTGAAAATATTTGGCCACGTGTCATTAATCAGTTCATAAAAAAATTACTCCAGCTTTGTTACTTAATTATAATCCGTACTTCTAATCCATTCATTGAGCTGTATAGATTAAGGTAAGGTAAGTATGAACCATAACAAAATTGTATACATAAACTGATTGCATAATAAATAAATAAAGTTGGAAAAGTTTAAAAAGGTTGAAAATAGTAGAGTTCATTTATCGATTCTATTAAATCCTTCGATATTTTAGGCTGTGGAGAAGTAGTTTCCTGTCCTCCTCTTGAAATGATGCTAGATAATTAGCAAGGTTTTCTCTCTTCCAGATTCCCATCCATTCATGTCAAAATATTTAGAACCCACTCGAGACTGGGTTGAAGGGAATCTTTTCCAATTTTTATCCCGATTCAGAGCTTACTTATTTAATGAAAAAGCGCGTAGGTGGGTGCGCAATTTTACATATGAGGAATTCGAATGCTTGGCCATGAGGTGGGTCACATACATACTCTAACTAAACATTGTCTCAATTCGGCTTTCTGTCATTTTAAAAGCAATGCTTCATTTCTTTCGGGTTCGTTATATTTCTTGCACTGGGATGCAAGAACCGCAAGAAATGCGAGGTCTGTGTCAGAAACTGGGAGAAAGTGCAAGAAATATCTATGTTCCATCTAGCCACCCGTCATATGAAGTATAGCGGCGGTAGTTTCTTGTGCCCTGCATTTCTTGCAGGTCAAAGTATGTAGCTGCAAAAATCCATCTGGTTACATGCACCATAATCAGGAACACTACAATCTGGAGTCTGGAGAGAGTGAAATTCACCAGAAATCAAAACATGCACAAGTCCCCGATGTGCAGTGGGAGTTTTAGAGCCACTCGTTCTTAATGTGTCTAATTGATATTGATATTGGAATTGGATTGCTGCTGGAGGAAGAAACCGGTCGAGCCAAGTCAAGTCAAGTGAGCAGGCAGGGAAAGTAAGGAGAAAGCATTGCAGGGAGCACAAGCGATGCACTCACTCACTCACTCGCGATCACGATTCTCATCATCATCGCAACGGCAATGTTAAACTTTTCGCTAATTGATTCAAGTCGAGTCAAGTGATGCGAGGCAAGGCGGCCAACTCTTCACTTTCCTCCCTCCCAACGTAGAAATATCAAAGTGGAAATATCCATATCCAAATTTAATTCAGTTAGGAGAAAGAGGAGGCAAGTTGAGATTCGACAAGTTACAGACGCGACGATTCCTTGAATTTCTCCATCGAAAATTAATACTTCCATTTACCAGGGAGAAATCATTGCTTACACATTTCCTTAAAGATTTCTGGCTTGAAATCTTCTCATTCTTTTAAACCTGACAATAAAATTAAGGTCGTCCAATTACACGTGACATGACACTGTTTCAAATGTATCTATATACACGATATTGTAGTGATATGATATGGATATGGAGTGAAAGTCCTTTAGTTATGGGGAGGCAAGTTGAGATTGGACAATTCTTCCTACTCTTTTCCCTCCAAAATTACTACTTTCATTTACTACTGAAAAATCTTTACTTACACATTTTCTCACAAATTTCTGACTCAAAATTATCCCATACTTTTAAATTAAACATTATAAGTAAGTACGTTCAATATGTATCTATTATATGTATCTATCATATGCACACAATATTGTTGTCGTGTTTAACACATGGAGTGAAAGTCAGTCTATCGACAAATTACTACTTTCCTTCGTTTACTACAGAGCACTTGTAGGTACACATTATCTCAAAATTTTGAAATTCTCTCACACGTCTCAACTAGACAATAATCCAGGCCGTCTAATTACACGTGACTTGACACTGCTTCAAAATTTATCCCCATATATTGCACATCCCCGTACGTGCGTAGGTAGCATGTGGAGTGAAAGTGAGCCTATGGACGTTATGTGGTCGAGAAGCCACGCGGTCCAGCTTTCTCCTCCCGAATCTTCTCTTGTGTGCGGTGTCCTGGTCATCGTGGTTTCTTCCAGTCCACAGAATCCTCCTCCTCCTTGGATCAACTTTGCCCAAGATGCGCCCCCAGAAAATTTGCATGACACACAGGAATTGTGACTTTCTCTCCGTCATTACTTGGGACGACGATTTCAAGCCCAACTTTTCCACCATTCTCTCTTCTCATTCAAATTTGGGAGCATGTATTGGTTGCGGTTTTCCTATTTTCACTCCACTCCACACTCGCTCGCCATGTGCAACCATGCATGCCTCGCTGCCTCCCTGCCTGACGCATGAGGGGAGGCAAACAGTCGCCGCGAAAGCCGTGGGGGGCATGGGGGGACATTAACATTACAGGATAGGGGAGGGAGGGGTATATATAACATGGGAAAATCGAATAAGCGTGGGGACATTGCCTCTCTGTTCCGCGGCCACTGGGAGCAAAGTGTATGAGGAGGCCAAACTTGGAGAAAGGTGCGGATTACGAGAAAGTGAACAAGGCAGAAGGCAAATGATCAACCAAAATTACCCAGAATTCTGTAGGTATGCTAATTAGCTAGCCTTACATATTTGGATACATTTTCTCAATCTTGAATTCATACACGTGACAGGTTTTAATTATAAATCGCCTTAATTACGTAAAAGTTGTGCATATGTAAGTTAAACAATATTTAAATGGCTTAATTTCTGATTCTGTAATTTTCTGTAATTTTGATTTCTGATGAATTTTTATTTGTGATTTCTGTAATTTTTAATGTTACTGGGGCAAAGTGAAACAACTGGTTTAAAATTCTAGGCCAAAGGGAGCGTCCATAAATCACGTGATCGATTTCTGGACAATTTTGACCCCCTCCCCCCCTTGGTGACCTTTGGTGATAATTTCGCTACCCCCCCACCGGTCACCTGACAGGAGATGATGCTTAAATTAAATCATGTTGTCTGGAGAATATTATTCCAGTGTTTTTAAAATCATTAATCAAATTAACACATACAAATAAGTATTTAATACGCCAGTCAGACATATGAACTTTAAGTCGAAGCAAGTTTCTAAATATGCAAAATGAAAATCAAATCTATATAGATTTGATTTGCATTTTGTTATATAACCGTGTGGTATGCCAAGAGAGTTTATATATAACTCTCATGACATTTATTGGCATATACAAAAGTTCAAAAAAACTTTACCCATGTCACGTGACATCTGACCATCTACCCCCCCCCCCCCCCGTGATAATTGGTGACAAATTTCAGACCCCCTCCCCCCCTCTAATCGATCACGTGATTTGTGGACGCTCCCAAAACCAACTCGATATTGTGATTCAGTAGAATGAAATTTTGAACATTTTGCAGTGACTTGAGCCGATTAGTGCAAAGATGCAGTTTGCATTTTATAAGCATGAAAGTTGGTCAAAACATGTCGACTCGCGTAGGAAAACTCAAAATTTTATGCTTAATCCAAATATCAAGCTAATTCTACTCAAAAACGCATAATTATTAAACAAATCTGCTCCATTTTGCCTCATAATCGCAAAAATCCCATATTTCACAAAAATTTGCAATTTGATTTTCCAAAACCTAAAATTACATATGTGTACGTATCAGCTCTACACATTTGTGTAGCAAATACACAAATGTGTATGTGTAACATAACCAAATACACAACGACATTTCCGCGAATAAATACGCGAATTGAATTTCACAGGATGACGGATATCATTATTTCTTTTTACCAATTTGTCCTCCTTAAATAAAATGGAGAGAAGACGTAGAAATGGTCTCGCCTAAAAATTGGGCTCATTCATACGCATGAAACGAGGACAAACTCGCATGCATGTCAACACACTTTTAACTTGTAAATATCTGATTTGATTATCTATCCGACCGAGGAGGTTGCAAGTCTGGGAAAAAGTGAAAGTTTTTTTTATCATGTTATTAAGAAGCCTTATTATTTATTAAATGTATAACTTTCGATACCTAGAAGTCAATCACCCCATTTTTCAGGACAAAATCAGGCATATTCAATTATATGCGTTCCACATCCAACAGACAGAGATACATAACATGCCCAATTTCCAAGAATTTGCCTCTTCAACCCATGAGGACAAATCAACTTTCACTTTATACATGGTGTGCTTGCAAAGTCTGAGAATTTTAGGCCCACTTTTATTAGATACACATTCGTCAACAAGTTGTCCTCATACCTGTCTGCTTTCTTACCTGAGAAATACATACAATTGATCCCCAATTATCTAATCAACTCGATATGTTTGTGACCATGTGAAGAAGATGACTTTTCTATTTATATATGTACATATTCCAATCTTGTTTTGTCAGTGCCATGTTCACACTGAATGATAAGCACTCGACTCTTCAGTGCACAATTTTTAATCAGAGTCACCCATCCCAATTCGATAATGTCAAATGTTCAATTAATTATTAGCACTGTTATCATGTAATTAAAAACAAATTGATGTACTTTAACAATCATTTTACCAGCCAAACACATCCCAGTCACTTGATAACCACGAAATTGTCATCATATTTACCATGGGTCTGAAATTGGTTCCCATAATTATTGCCATTTTTTTGCAACTTAGCACATCTCAGAATGCGATAGGTCCATCGCCGAAGGTGGACCCGACCTGGGACAGCATTGACGCGAGGCCGCTTCCAGCCTGGTATGATGACGGGAAGATTGGGATTTTTATCCACTGGGGCGTCTACTCGGTCCCCTCCTACATCAACGCCTGGTTCTGGTGGAGCTGGCTCAACGACGGCAGCCAAGCGCATGATGACTTCATGAAGAAAAATTTCGCACCGGGATTCTCATACGAGGTTCGTCAGTGCAAAAAATTGGCAAATTCGTCTACTTTATTACTGATAAATTGGCAAATATTTTCAGGAATTTGGACCCATGTTTACCGCGGAATTTTACGACCCGGATCAGTGGGCTGACCTATTTCAAAAGTCTGGAGCGAAATACGTCGTCCTGACATCGAAGCACCACGACGGTTACGCTTTGTGGCCTTCGTCCCACGGTTTTGCTTGGAACTCCATGGCTGTCGGACCCAAGAGAGATTTACTCGGTAAATAATATTTAACATTTTTCCCACGACAAGGTGGACAAAACGATTTTTGCCATGGGAAAAATGGGAAAAAGCGCGTGCTGATAATAGCTCGTCATGGTCGATAAATGCATATTTCCCTTCCACCTACAAATACATATTTTAATTTAACCGGGTGGTAAAAAGTGAGAAAAATGCGCTTACCGGCTTAGTTCTCTACGTATGACTGGTAAAATTTAGTTTTTACCAGTCGTACGTAGTCGTCTCAATTAGGGTTCTAATCCCGGGTCCCGGACTATTCTTTACTTCCCGGAATTTTTGTTGGCAATTAATTAATATTGATAATAATTAATAATTTTGTTGTTAATTATCTAATTCCCGGAAACTTCCAGAAATTCACTCCCGAAAAATCCCGGAATTGGAATCCCTAATCGCACTATAATTTTTTATCAAAATTTTGTTCCCCCCTTTGAATTTAAGGCGATCTGGAGCAAGCCATCCGGAAGACCGAGATGCACTTCGGGATCTACTACAGCCTCCTCGAGTGGTACCAGCCCCTCTACGTCGAGGAAACTGCCAACAATTTCACCACCGACTTATTCCCCACGCTCAAGTCGATCCCCACGTTGAAAGAGGTGATCACCAAGTACAGGCCGGACGTGGTTTGGAGCGACGGCGAGTGGTACGCGCCCTCCAGCTACTGGGGCGCCCTCGACTTCCTCGCCTGGCTCTATAACGACTCCCCAGTCAAGGACACCGTCGTCACGAACGACAGATGGGGCTCGGAAACCAGAGGCGTCCATGGCGGCTTCTACAACTTTGATGACAGGTATTTCTCCCTAATTGCTTAGATAATCGGGAATAAAATCTACGAACGGTGGTTGTGGTGGGTTCGCAGATCATAGACACGTGTTATTGGTTTGCGAAATTTGTCACTCACGATTTTTTTGCATAATAATCAACCTGGAAATCAGATTATTTCAAAAATAAAACAAACTCGATACCTTTTCCCGTTAAAAACTTGTTGAACGTCAAAGTTTCCAAAATCTCAATTTTGACCATCAATAACTTTTAACTGACAGAGCTATCGAATAGGTTTTATTTTTGGAATAATCCTCATTTTTGGGTTGATTGTTTTTACAAAAAAAAATTGATTAATGATTGTTTGAAGTCTAAACCAAAATATTTCAATGACCCATATTAAATGCCGCAATGTATGTAATTGCAGGTATAATCCCGGCGTGCTGATTCCGCACAAGTGGGAGAACGCCATGTCGTTGGACAAAAGGGAGTGGACGCACCGGAGAGAAGCCGTCATCGAGGACTTCCTCACACCCGAAGAACTCATCGAGCAAATCGTCGTCACCGTTTCATGTGGCGGTGAGAAATAAAAAAAACGCTTAAAAAATTATCCTCACTCGACTTAAACATTTTGTAATGTAAATCAGGGAACATTTTGATAAACGTGGGTCCCACGAAGGAAGGCACGATCCAAGTGATTCAACAAGAGCGTCTTCTTCAAATGGGCGAGTGGTTGGACGTCAATGGAGACGCCATCTATAACACGACGCCATGGGAGTTTCAGAACGATACGGTCAACCCAAATGTCTGGTAAGGCACCGGGGTAAAAACCTGCTCGATTTTGTGCAATTTTCTCCAGAAAAACTGCATGCGGAGCGATTTGTGCAAAAAATTATGCACACAAAATTTTGCACATATGGTTCACCTTAATATTAAAGTCCATAGAAAGTTTCTGCAGGATTATGCAAAAAAACATGCAGAATACAATCAAATTTTTGTCAATTACTGCAGATTTCTCCAGAAAACCTTGATGCAGAGAGACAGAAAATAGTGCAAAATTTTGTGCAGAATAAAGTCCATAAAAATTTTCTGCAGGATTATGCAAAAAAATTGCGAAATGCAATAGCAATTAAGCTTTTGTCAATTACTGCAGAATTCTAAACAACGATTTCTACTCTATTTCTTCTTCCCCTTAACTTAAATCAATTTCTACACATTTTCATGTCATAAAATTATGAATTACAAGAAAAATTGAAAATCTGCTTCGTCTTAAAACTGAAGGTACACGACGAGCAAGACGGACAGCAGGATATTTGCGATGACGACATCCTGGCCGGACACCTCGATCCTTCACATGGGCGCAATTTCCGCCAGTCTCACCAGTCGCGTGGAGATGCTGGGGTACGCGGACGTCTTGCAATGGGTCGCGTCCCCCTCGAACGGAGGAATCGATATCTTTCTCCCCCAAATGCAGAGGGTTAGGTCAAAATGGGCATGGACGCTGGTCATCACTCCACCATAAAAACCCTATTAATCGTTATAAAAATAAATCGATGCCTTAATTAAAGTAATATTTAACAAGGCAAATAAACCGATAATGATTAATTGTCAAGTTCCTTCCCCGAGTAAAAATTTGACCCGACTTTCTCCAGAAATTTTAGACATTTGGCACAACTTTCTGCACAAAAACTATACATACAGCGCAATTTGTACAGAAAACTATACACAGAATTATAGTTCTGCAGAATGAAACCCATTCAAATTTGCAATATTATGTCGCAAAAATTATGCATAATACGAACAATACTTATCGAGCTGGTCGATTACTGCAGAATTCAATATAATGCACAAAAACTGTATACAAAACAATTTGTAGAGAAAACTATGCATAATTATGCACACACAGTCTTGGTCAATATAAAGCCTATACAAATTTATTTTCTGCACAATTACAAGATTACGCAGAATATATAGTATCTATGCATCCAGCTTTTGTCAATTGCTGCAGAATTCGATACAGTGATTTCTACCATTGTGTACATTTTTTTACCTAGCTCACATTGCATCATGTCCTTATTTATAGCCATTTTTAAAAGGAGTACATCTATCTAATCCCGTCACCCATTTCCTCGCTTTCCTCCTGCACCCACCACTTGTCCACGTCGTGATCATCGTCGTCCGTCCAGCACTCTGGTCTAAAACAACAATGGTACTACTCAACCCCCATTTGTCTCTCCACTCCACTTCACTCACTCGCTCACTAATCCAAAGTCCACTCCACACACACACTACTTTCACCCAAAATCTCATCCCTCCTCGTCCTCCACATGCTCAATCCCCCACGCCAAATCATCAAATCCCTTCTCATCACCGTCCTTAATAAGAAGAAGCAGTCGACTCACTCACTCGCTCCTCTTAAGACTTTGAAAACGTGGGTTTGTTAATTCTATGCAAATTGTATGCAGGGGAAAGTAAACTGATGTGAAATTGGAATGTGATGTCATGTGCTGGGCTTGTTCGGCCGAGTGAGGCAAATTCTGAAGAGGTTTAATTCCTTTCATCCACTTGAACATAGTTCCGCCGTCCTCGCCTCCTCCTCCTCCTCCAAATCAAATCACATCGGCACGAATCTTACTCGATGAGTAAAATAAAGCAAAGCAAACAAAACAAAATGTAGCAATAGGGCGAAACCAGTCCTTAAAAATTATGTATGTGACTACACCCCCTGACCTCGAGGGGGTGGTCCGATTGACCCCAAAAGTGGAAGGGTCCCCCCTTGGGGTCATTTGTATGATGCTGTTCTCAACTGATCTCCACTATCTCGATCCGTTCTCCCGTTATCCTGCTGACAGACAGAGGGACAGACAGACGAACAAAATCGTCAGGGTATCACCATAAAATAAAGCAAAGCAAACAAAATGTAGCAATAGGGTGAAACCAGTAATTCCCCCAAAAATATGTGACCACACCTCCAGGGGGTGGTCAGATTGACCCCAAAAGTGGATATGCATGGTCTCCCCCTGGAGTCATATGTATGACGCTACCTGTCTCGACTATCTCGATCCGTTCTCCCGTTATCCTACTGACGGACAGACGGATGGACAGACGGACAAAATCTTCGCTTAATAGGGTATCACTCTAAAATAAAGCAAAGCACTGAATCCAATTCTGAGAGAGAGAGAGAGCTGGTCCTAAAACCAAGACAAATAGAAGACCCAGCCAGCGTGTGTGCTCGACCGACCAGGTTTCAAGTGCTAGACGAAATGTGGCCAAAATAATCTGGGCTCATTTCATATACAAACACACCAAGCAAGAAGAAGATACACAATTAAAGGGTTGAGACGATGACAACGTAACACACCCAGTCAGTCGGACAGAAATCCAGTTTCAGATAAAAAATACACAATTGTCGCAGCTTTAAACGTAAAATCGTGACAAATTTCTGCGAATTGTGAGGCAAAATGATACACGTGGCCTTAAAAACATTCTCTCTGCAATAATTTCGCGATAAGCCAGGGAACAAGCTCGCTTCAAACTTTAATCGTTGATACGACGAGTCGTATTCAAATAGAAATTCAGTTCTCGTTAAAAAAAATCCAAAATTGTCTCAGGATTCTTCAAAATTTTCCAAATCGACCTTCAAAATCAAAATCCTCTAATCTTTTCCATATCCTTCATGACTCCTTTCTCTCAAATTATGAGGCAAATTGATACACAATTCCTCCCGAAACTTTCTCTCTCTCCACCAAATTTCACACGAAATCCATCCACCAAGAAACAAGCTCTCTCTCTCCACATACTTTCTCTCCTTCTGCTAAAACCTCACCCAAGTTAACCAACTAATTTATTGATTGATCTCCTCTCTCTCTCTCTCTCGGTGTCTCTTCTTCTTAAGACGACACGAGAGAAAGTTGGCCCTGAGCTTTCTCTCTTTCTGCATGCATACCATCACATCACCATCACCATCATGCCAGCCTGACTGGCAAATTGTGTCCCAAAATTAAGGTAGTGATCAACTATGCGCGCATCTCTTGTTTATTTAGCCTCACGTTCCCACTTTCTCCTTCAAGAGAAAACATATTCCCTCAAAAACTTTCTCCTCCTCGTCCTCGCAAATTAAACAAATTATGAGTATTATAAGAAGACCAACGCCCTCCTTCGCCTCTCCTCCTAGACAAAGGACAAGTTAACAGTGGCCGCGGAATAGAGGGACAATGTCCCCACGGATGTCCCCAGGGGACCTCATATTATACACTGTTAAAAATCTGGTAGAGGCAAACATAGATACTCCTTGCTGGGATTGATGTGGTAATAATTACTTACCCGATTGGTAGTAAATTGTTCCTGAGTGGTAATTTTTTCATTACCACAAAATTACTGAATACCAGTGCCGGTAGAGTCCCATACATATGTACTCCGGTCGGTAATGATTTAATACCAGTTTTCTAAGAGTGTACTAAACCACTTCCTCCCTTATCCCAAAATATTAATGTCCCCACACGGGTTCCGCGGCCACTGTGAGTTAGTGTTATTGTGTGAGAGTGAGTGAGAGGTGTGGTATGTGTCGGATAAATTACTTTCACTTAAGTTTCTCCTCCCAGTAATTTTCTACATTATTAAAATCCATAAGATTTGATGTGTTGACATAACCCTTAAAGACGAAAGTGTCGCCTTCTTCTTCCTCGACATGGTGACGGACATGAATGGATGAATGACATGACGTGACGTTTACGTTTGTCAGTCCACCCACGGTACACTAGTTACATGCAGACCTACGTACTTGAGAGGAGGGAGAGAGAGAGAAAGATTCGGTGTGGATGACTTTTGAGGAGGAAATTTCATTAGATTAACTGGATGAGAGGAGTCTTTTGTTGGGGAAGTGGTGAGGATATGTAAGTTTGGAGTGGAAGGGTGACTCCAGCTTATCCACACGGATCATCTCCGTGATCCACTCACTCACTCACTCACCTGCCTGCCCAGAAATGTCGGCACCGTTTCATGTGCAATAAATACCCAACGTTCTTAACCGGATCTGAATTTAGTCTAATGTTTGATTCTGGAAAAAATATTCGGCTAAAAATTCTATCATGGAATTATTTCCATGTGCAAAATTCTGCCGTTTTTGTTTTTAAATAACACTTAAAATTTGTCAATACCTCACAGACCTTAATTTCCAATGTTCTTAATTCTGTAAAAAAAATGGCTAAAAATTCCATCAAGTATTTTATGCAATTTTTTATAGGCGTAAAATTCCGCAGTTTTTATAACATTTGAAATTCTTCAATACTAATAAACGAATCTTAATTTGCCGTAATGTTTTATTCTGCAAAAAACGGCTAAAAATTCCATCAAATATTTTATTTTGTTATTAAATAAGGCCTGAAATTTGTCAACCTTACATTTTATCGTTAGCTGTACACATACATTTAATTTTACATGGGTGCCCATACTCAAAATTGGTGCAAAGTTTACTAATTCATTTCGACGAGGAATCAAATTGAGTACAGGGAAATATTTTATTGAGAGGGGAAAGCAGAAGAATGAATTACGTATTAAAATCCAACTCACTCTTCTTGAGCAAAGTTTGTTTTGTTTGTTTGCTTATAAAATATGGACACACATTCTGCCTCCACCACCACATCCACGGCTCACTCGTGGAGAGAGGGAGAACAATAGGTTTGGAAATTTCCAATTTCTTGAAACTCTCTCTCTCCTTAAATGAATGAGTTACACTTTCCTCATCTTCTCCTCCTCCCAGTCCCCAGCAGACCTACTCAAATTCATCCTCCTCATCATCATCATACTCTTAAATGTTGCTCCTTAAATTCCGTGGGTACAGTTCTCCCAAAAAATCTAGTAGCGCAAAAAAATGACTTCCTTAAAAAAATAAAGAAGTTAACAAAATTAATTTCTCTCAAAAAACGCAGCCTCTCAAAAAAATTACTTTCTCCAAAAAACACCTTTTTAAAAATTACTTTCACCCAAAGAAATACAGTATCTCAAAAAATTACTTTTCCCAAGAACAATGACTTAAAAAATGACTTTCTCCAAAAAAATAGTCTCTCGAAAAATGCTTTCCCTTCAAAAAACAACTATATCAAAAAATTCCAAAATAACTTTCCCCCCAAAAAATAAAGAAACCCTTAATTTTTACCCTCCATACATACTTTCAAATATTGCCCAATTTGTCTGTATCCCTAGCTAAATATACCTCATAATTTCAGCATGTGTTTTCCTTCCTGATTATGCCCTCACCCTCGCAGCGAGCGGCCCACATTCCACAATTTCAATGTGAGGAACAAAAGAGGTAAAGAAGTAAAGTTTAGTGTGGCTGCTTTCTTCGCGTCGCCTTGTCCTCCTCGTCGTCGTCCTTGATTACTTGGAATTTCTGAGGGCCTGGTCGAGCTCACTTTTGTTCTTATGTTTAATGGATATGTGTTGTTGTCCTGAGTGAGTGAGTGAGTGAATGAGGGAGCGAGCGAATCAGCCGCGCCCCATGTGCCGCGAGAAGAAACAACAATGGATGCAGGGAGAAAGCACAGCCTTCACAAATGTCTATCCATAATGCAAATGAACATGTAAATCCGGACCATGGGAAAACGTCGTCACTTTCCCAAGAAGAATAT